ATACCTTGGCTTCCAAGGAACCCAGTCGGGCCAAAACATCATCCTAGACGACGCGCGAGTTATGACATGTCTCGAGAAGGGAATCTGAACGTCCAATACCTCCTTTGAGTACGTTGAATTGTTTCGATATGACGTAGGATCCATATCACCCCAATTGGTGTCGCCCAGATAGTGGCATTCCTGGTTCAAGCGCTCGCAGAATGAGCAACTCGGTCTCTCTCCGGAACAGCGAACTTTTTTGCGCCTGCGGACAAACTTAGCCAAAAGGCATCATCACTCGACAAGACGAGCGTGGTACCTGCAGGTTGAACACGCTTGCCGAACTCGTTTGATGCCACGAGCCTGAGCGTCGGCCGTCTCAGTTTGTTCAGACATGGCTATACAATTTTTTCTGGGGGGAGGAGGTGGAGGAGGGAGGGGGAGAACAGCGAGGATTTGTAAAAGACAAAAGACAAAAGACAAACGACACCTGAGGTACAAAAGAGTGGGAAGATTGAAGTGGCGACGATTCAAGTGGGCGAATTGGTGCCAAGGCAGCGACTTTCTGCCTCGGCGGGACGTGGAACCTGTGACTTGTTCACAGTTGGGCAAAGTACAAGTACAACTACGTACGAAGGGGAAGGTCGTAAGGGCGACAGTTGGGCAGCACAAGAGCCAAAGCCCAGGGAGCCGGAGAGCCAGACTGGGGGGTAACAGGTACCAGTAAGTGCAGCCTCACTAGCCCCAAAGATAAACACAAACAGTAGGCCGCAACCCACTTAGTCCCCCGTAACGCCTAACAAAAAAGGGAGTCAGGTGCATCGTGCTCCCTGTTCCTTACCCCTCACAAACTTATGTCTTGGAGATCAGGGAGCAACTGCATGGGTGTCTTTCTCAATAGGCCTTGGGCATTGGACCTTCTCAACCGGGGTCTCCGCTCTAGGTGACTCAGTAGCCTCAAGACACACACCCAGATGTTTGCTGGGGTTTTGCTGGAGTTTGAAGTTTTGAAGTTTGCTTCCAAGCTTAGAGTCGAGTGACCTTTGTGCATGGTCAGAGCCTTCCACACTGCTGTGTACTTGTACCCTGTTCTGCCCGGACCAAAACACAGAACAACCTCAGCTGGACAAAAATGGAGAGGAGCCATCACGACCTGGGTTAGACTCAAAGGTTGCTCAATGGTCCTCGATTGTCCTCGATAATGGGTGGCGTCTTGTTAGTTCTTTGTACGATCCTTGTCGCTCGTGGAACTCTTAGCTAGTGTGACTATGTAGGTAACTTACCTTTGAAGAGTGACCACTGACCTCTAGAAGAAGCTGAAGGAGAGGGGAAAGAGAGGGGGGCCAGTGCCTGAAATTATACATGTGCTTGTACTTATGGGTACTGGTGGTCACCCCTTTCAGAGGAACCCTCTGGTGGCTGTCGGAAGGTGGCAGACCACTTGGACGCAGGGCCCAGGGCCCAGGGCCCAGGCTGCTGGGTCGCAGGGAACCCTGATCGTGGTGCTCGTCCCCTGCTCAGACCGCCACCTCTACTCTCCTTCTCACTTCGGGTCAAGTGCCGCTTCCACTCCCCTTCATCCGTCCCCCGTGTGACAAATCAAATCCTTCACGCTTGCGCAGCCCCAGTCCCGCATCGCCATGCCCCGGGGAACGCGGGGCGTCACCAGGATCACCTGTCCCGTGCGTGGTCCGGAACATGAAATCGATATCCTCACATGTCGCCTAGCATATTTTTCAGAAATTTCCCCAGATGTCTCCCGTCAACACCAAGAACCATCCACCCCACGTCTACAAAACACATACACACACACACACTCTCTCTCTCTCTCTCTCTCACATACTCCATACTCTCGAGATCAATTCTCCTTCAACAACCCAACCCCTCTCAATTGTCCCTCAGCTCATCACCAACCATGGCCAACATGCACTCAAAGTGGAAGGAGAGGCTCACGGAGAAGCAGTTGGAAAGGAAGAGGAGGCTGGATAGAATCAACCAACGAAATTATCGAAGTCAGTTCAAGGAGAGCGAGGCCGAACTGGGCTACCTGCGCCTCCTCGCAAGAAGTGACCAGCTCGAAGTCCTGAAAAAGCTGATGGAGGAGAACAACCGTTACAAAAACCAGATTGCATGGCAACAGTCCAGGCTTGATGCCATTGTGCTGATGCACGGTGCCCACGATCGATCGGATCAAGCCACCATGTCCACCTCTGCCAGAACCCCTCCTTCATCGATGCTGGGGGGCAGTCCGATGCGCGGCACAGACAACTTTCCCCCGCCATCGGACTATTCCTCTCCCTCAGCTACCTCAGTGACCACCTCCAAAGTCCTGCACGAAGATGTACCCTGGTTCATGACGAGGACCTCCATGTTTTTCCAGGTGGCCAAGGATACAGGGTTTCAGACCAAAGACATCGGAGACGATATATCCGTGAATGACTTCCTCGAATCTTTCATGGCTTGGAAAATCCAGCACGGCTACGGCAACAACAACATACAACTCCTCATCGACTACTCCAACTACACGTTCCAGTCCACAGTTGGTGAGTACAGCCATCCGCCACCCGCTTTTTGTCTGGTACGGGCTCGCTGACGGTTTCCCCTGCAGAAGAAATAGATCGAACCGTGAGGTCCAAAACGTTGATGCAGGATATTTACGCCGCACTCGTCTACGGGCATCCGTGGCCCTCTCCATCATCCCGAGCAACATCGGATGAAGATCTTCTCCCCAATCTCAGCGAACGAAGCCGTCATCACCGTGCTGCCGCCCTGTGTGCATTCCGGGGAATGTATCGATTCAGGGACAGATTCTTTTCCGACATAGAGTTTGTGGCAATTTTTTGGACCATTTACAGATACTACCTGGTAGGTCATGACCTCAGATGGGCCGTGCAAGATTCGTGACTCATCAGCCTTTACAGTTTCTCATCTTTCCGACAATCGAAAACTGGTCGCAGTTCCCTCGATGGCAGCGTCCGACCAAATCCCAGCTTCTCCTCCAGCACTCCTGCTTCGTGGATGGAATCGTATGGTGAGTTGCAGATACCGGTTGATTGGCGGATGTCATTGCGGCTATGCGTGATGGGATAGTGACCTGATTACTGATACTGAACAGGCCTGAACTGCGTGACCGGCTAATTGTCGGGTTCCCGAAATACGACGAAGAGAGGCTCATCTGGGCTCTGACCCGGAACATGCGAATCAACGCTCACGGCCTCCGCCCACACCAGCTGTTGACGCTCAAGTCGGATATGTCTGATTTTGAAATGGAGCCCTCCCTGAAGTCCATTGTCTGTGATCCGTCCAGCTTCACAGTATTACCTGCCTTCCGGCGCTCGTGTCCCGAGTTCGCAGACCTAGCCATCTCCACCGCCGAGGAGCAATGCTTTGCTCCGTACGTCGGAAGTGATGCCGATTCAACCCCCGGTCATCAACCGCATGATTTTCCACAAGAGCAGCCTTGCAACTCGGGTCCGCTCTATCCGCAGGTAAGTCCTCATTACAACCACAGGGATGACTGTGGAAGCTTACGTGCTATTTCACCAGGTGTCTCCGGTCATGAACAATGCACTGCAGCCAAAGACTCAAGTCGTGCCCGAAAACGACCATCTCGCCGCAGCGCAACTGCCCGATCTCGGATCCACAGATCCATTTTTTGATTTTTTCTCACAAGAGCTCGCGCCCATGGCCGATGATCATCGAATGCCCATGTCCCCCGGAGGTACACTGGGTGGGTTTCGCGATCTCAATTTCCTAGACGATATGTTCGACTTTGATTGTGCAACATCGTTGACCGATCCGACGCTGAGACTATGATTATATGCCTTCCACACATGGCTGTTGCTTAGCCAACGTTTGTTGTATCAAAATTGTATATTCAATTCAAGCGGACAATGGTGCAAGGGATTGGGATTTCTAGGGGGACTGCTGGCATTGGATCGCAGTGGACAGACCTCAGCGCTGAACGGGTCATCTATAGTTGACGTACAGTGGTGACGGTACACTTTTAAGTCCGCGAGTTGTTAAATCTACCCGCGCTAATCACCTGGGAGAACATCTGATCAAATCCACAAGTCATGAGCTCAATAATGTTTCCCCATGGGTCCTGCATGTAGAGGGCAGCCTCCCCAGGCACCGGATGGACCTTTTCGCCCACCAGCTTGCCTCCCAACCTCTCGCACGCCGCCACCGTCTCGTCGATGTCTGCAACGACAAACCCGACGTGGAAGAAGCCGCCTCGCGTGTAACTGTCTGGGCCCCATTCGGGTCTTTGCTGTGGCCCATTATATTTTGGTGCAACGAATTCGAAGATTTCGAAGCCGATCCCGTTTGAAGCAGTGAGGATAATTGACCGAACTCGCTGCAGCTCCTTGCCATAAACTGGGCGGTGTTAGGTTCCAGGGTCCAGACAACTTCAACATACCGATCACGAGGGTCACACACTTTTCCGAGGCACGCCACCAGCATCTTCGGCATTCATAGTGTTATCTGGCACCAGGACCTTGAGGCCCAAGACTTGGGTGTAGAACTCGGCCGCTTTGGCAGCATCCGGTACCGAGACCGCGACATGGTTGGGATGCGAGATGATGGCCATGGCAGACAGAGTATTTTGGCAATAGCTCACGGGTCGTCGAGAGGGAGCGTGTAGTGAATGGTGCGAGGGAGACGCAGTCTCTCTCTCCTTGTATTGTTTTAGCCCTTTCTATATCAGCGGGTTGTCGCTCCACTAAAAATTACCTAATCAAACATGGACTAACCAGATCGGTACAAATTCTGCCTCCCGTGCTCCCCCATCTCAGAAATCAGTACTCCACAACCACCTTCAATTTTGCCAAATGTGGGGGAGAGCCGGTAACGAGTCGTAACAGAAACAGACTCGGCCCACGGTCCCCTCTATTAATTTCGACCCTTTCCTACTCTCCCCCAGAACCTCACAAAGCAGGCTAGCAAGAGAAAGACAACTCCCCCCCTCCAGTTCCGAAGCAAGGGCCGCCCCCCTCTCTCTTATCGTATGACAAAACATGTCCGCGGACAACTTGCTAGATTTCTTTGAATTTGCCGAGACTTCGTCAGTCCCGCAACCTGTGCCCTGTGCCGAGGACACCCCCAAACCACGCCAGCCCCGGAACAAGACAGCAAAGCGCGCGTCCAAGGCCTGTCGGTCGTGCAGAGCACGCAAGGTCCGGTGCGACTTTGTATACACGGGGGCACCATGCACAAATTGTAAATTGGATCGGGTGGATTGTATTATCCCGGATAGAATCGGGAACAAAGCGTGAGGTGGCCTTCCTTGTGTTCCCCAGAAAGGTTCCTCTCTCTCTCTCTCCAGGTTCGACTGACTTCCACCAGTGGGAATGGCTTTACCAAGCCGAAACCTCTAGAGGCAGCGGAGCCAAACGGAGAGCACAACAATGGAAGGGGGGACATCGACGGGCTCACGGGCCAGCCTCGCAATGCTCGCAGTCGCCTGTACCAATATGCCTGCGGGCTGGCTGGTACGTCGTGAATCACCTTGCAGTAACAAGCAGATGAGCTAACAAACGCTGGCGTGATTGTAGCAGGAACCACAGCGCAAGAACCTCGACAGCCGCCCACGAGCGACTGGTACAAGTCTCCCTCGCAGAGCTCCCGCCCTTCGAGACCGTCGCTGGGAGAGTCGATCGTCGACTTGGCCGCCGTGCCGGGCTTCATCAAGCCTCCTCTCAACTGCATCTCTGCCACGGACCTGGCCTATCTGACCTCGCAAGGGGCGCTGCAGATCCCGTCGACGCAGCTCCGAGAAGAACTCCTCAACGCCTTCATCGAGCATGTCTATCCCTTCCTCCCGCTCGTCAATGTGCATGAGCTGGCAAGCACCGTAGCCTCGGGCGATGCATCGACGGGTCAATTGAGCCTGACGCTTTTTCAAGCGCTCATGCTCGCGGGCACGGCGTTTGTGGATATAGAGTATTTGCTCGATGCGGGATACTCGTCAAGGTCGGAAGCCACCAAGGAATTTGTCGAGAAAGTCAAGGTGAGTTTGAACAAACATTCCGGAAAACCGGAAGAGGAAGCATGGGGAGGATGCTCGTAAACGGTCGTACCGGATCCTGACGTTTCATGTCTAGTTACTCTGCAAGTACAACTTTGACAGCGACAAGATCGTCACCATCCAGTCCTTGCTCCTGATGGCCTATTGCACGTCGGGGGCCATGTACAAGGACAACTGGCGGTGGATCGACATGGCCATCTCGACGGCCTACTCGATCAACCTGCACTATGACCCGATGACCATCGACACGGGGCCCGGCTCGGACTCGGCGACGTCGAAGCGGCTGCGCAAGCGGCTGTGGTGGTGCGTGTTCATGCTGGCCCAGCAGGTGACGCTGTCGGTGCACATCCCGTGCAAGGCGCCCAACGACGGGGCGACGGTGCCGGTGCTGAGCGAGGACGACTTTGAGATCGTCCTGCTGCCGCCCACGGTGCGGTGGCCGGGGGACGAGCGCAGTCTGCTGCGCGACACCAACAAGCAGCGCCTTCTGGCCGTCATGTGCGTCAACATGTGCAAGCTGTCGGCGTGCTTCGAGAACATCCTGGGGCTGCAGTACCAGACGTCGAGCCACGGGTGCGACGCCGACGACCCCAACAAGCGCAGCTACCTGATCCCGCGCGGCGAGGACGTCGACCAGCACAAGATGAAGTGGCAGGAGGACGAGCTGGGGGCGATGCTGGCGCAGCTGCCGCACGAGGCGCAGAACCCGGCGCGCTCGGCCGGCGACGACGCCGTCGACGTCCACATCAGCCTGTTCCACATGTTCTTCTGCACGGTGCTGTCGATCCTGTATGCGCCGCAGATGTTCCCGCGCAATCCTGGGGGCACAGCTGCATCGTCCTCGTCTTCTTCTTCTTCCACCACTGCCACTAACACTACCACCAACCTGTCTTCCTCCTCGTCCTCCTCATCTACCTCTACCTCTACCAACCCCACGACAACAACGCCTCTCGCCCCCGGCCCAACCTCCTCCCCGGGGGACAAGATACTCAACTTCCGCACCATCTCCGCGCAGGCCGCGTGCGCAATCACGACGGTGGCCCAACGACTCGTGGTGCGCGGCCTGATCCCGCTCCTCCCGTCGACCAGCGTCTCGTACATCGTGGTCGCGGGCTTCACGCACGTCTCGGGCCTGCAGTCGCCCAGCTACGAGGTGCGCGCCCCGTGCCTGCACCAGCTGCGCCAGTGCCTGAAGCTGCTCGAGAGCCTGCGCGAGGACAACGCGGGCGCGCAGAGCGCCATCTCCTTCCTCGAGGCCGCGACGAGGCGGCTGGGCATGTTTGCGCAGTAGAACGCAATGTAATTTCTGCCGGTGATTTTTGATCCTGGTGACTCTGAGCGGTGACGATTGCTGGGGTCATTGTTATATGTTATATGTCATAACTATATACCTAATACTCCATCCCTATACTCTATACTACATACTGCGTACCTCGTACTGCGTACTACGGAGGTACATGTGTACATATATGGCTACTTGCATGCCTGATATATATATTTAATACGCCCCCAGCATCCGTGTCGCCATTTCATATGGGGTTGTTTTTGACCCAAGAAGACTCCAACTTCGCCCGGAACGGAGACCGAGTCAACCATGCCCTGAAGGAGATGGGCTCTCGTCCACAAACCTCCCGAATCACCTCCGGAAAGACCTCGGTGTGACTCGGATATTGGCCCTTTTCTAGTCCCTGGAACATCTGTGCAACCGACTTTATGTAATCGACATAGCCCGGGTCGCCGTCCGGGTTCGCCAGCGGACTGAGAGCCATGCGCGCAAACTCGTCGCTCGACAAACGACGCGCCCTCACGTCGAAGCAACACATGTCTCTTGCAATATCTGCCATGTCTACCAGACTCAACTTCTCCGTCGCGAGCGGATAGGTCCGACCCGCGTGCTTTGACGGCTCGAGCAGCGAGACGGCGGCCACGGCGGCTATGTCTTCGCGGGCAATCCAGCCATACTTCTTGTCCGCCGGGAGGAAGTATGCGATTTCCCCTGGCCGCAGCGTCCCGTTGTAGCCATCAAAGTTGATGCGGAGGAAGGTTGAGGAGGCGAAGACGTGCGTCGCTTCCGAGATTGCTTTTTCGGCCTGCAGATGCCACGTCTCGTGTGGTACGCGATCCGCCTCGTCTCTGTCGTCGCAATGCACGCCCGCATAGACGACGTGCAGTTTATTCTCAGCCTCGTGAGTCACGGCCTTGGCCTTGGCTGCTGCATCGATCCACGTGCGGCACTGAGAGAGCTTCGCCGACGTAAACGGTGTCAGCAGAAACAAGCTGCGTACGTCCCTCAGCGCATCGAGAAAGGTGGTTTCGTCTTTCCAGTCCACCATCACCGGCTCCACAATTTCCGGATGGGTGTTACTCGCGATGGCGGCTTCAAGAGCCTCTTTGCTGTGATATCCAGCACGGATAATCATGCCAGCCAACCCTGGCAATGTTGCGGTGGTATCTTGAGCGCACCGCTTGGAAACAAGTTCCGACACCACATATTTCCCTACCAGGCCTTCCGCATCCGTGACAAGTATCCTTGCCATTGTTTCCAGAGTATGAAAAGTATTTCTTTAATGCTATGAATTTGTAGCATACTGAAGGGGAAAACGATCTATTGAATTGCAGTGGAGGAGGCGTCAGACGTTAAGCGGAGATCACGGTAATACGTGGTGGTGGGCCTTATTACTTCTTCCGTCCGCCTGCCAAAAATAGCAAACTACGGTACCGGAGATATAATTACCCATTTGCTGCTTCTTCAGTAATGTATCTTTAACGCTCAAGGCGCACGCTCAGGTCCAGGGATTGGAAAGGAAATGAAAGTCCCTCGTGTCGAGAGATTCTGACCTCGAAAGTCCCTGTTCTCCCTCTCCGGTCAGGGCGGGAAAAAATATACTCACAGATTTCAATGCATCCCAGTCTTCAAAGCAGGAGAGACACCATACACACGTACGGGATACAGAAACAAGTACGTGCACGGCACATGATGATACGATCGATATGTATTTCTTATACATGTATATGTCATTGAATGACTTGAGATAGTGAGACAGAGAGACGCCCTCTTTCCCTCTTGCCACCCGTTGGTCCCAATGAATGCTCTCTCTATAAATCGCAGAAACAATAGGAAAAGACTCAAATCTTGGCCCGGGGACCGGCTTCGCGCAGCACCACCAGTCCCCTCTTCCCGGCCTTGTGCTGGTCCCGGAGCACCCGGCGCAGGATCTTGCCCGACGGAGCCTTGGGGATGGCCTCGATGACCTCGACCTCGCTGATCCATTTGTGGCGCACCTTCCTTTCCTGCGCCAGCTTGATCAGGTCCTTGGCCACACTCTCCGGCGAACCGGTCAGCCCACTGCGCATGACGACATAGGCCTTGGGTTTCTCCCCGGACGTGGCGTCAAGGATGCCAATGACGGCGGCATCTACCACATCAGCGTGGCCGAGAAGTAAATCTTCCAGCTCGGCAGGGGCGACGCTAATGCCGTTGACCTTGATCAGCTCCTTGAGCCGGTCCGTGATGGTCAAAAATCCTTCGTCGTCAATGTACCCGATGTCACCCGAGTGGAGGAAGCCGTCCTTGTCAAACGTCTCGTCGGTCGCCTTCTGGTTGTCCAGGTAGCCCATGGTGATTTGCGGCCCCCGGGCCCAGATCTCGCCGGGTGTGTTTGGTCCCAGCTCTGCTCCGCTCTCGGGATCGACGACCTTGATCTCGGTCGAGGCGAGGAGAGTGCCGGCTTTGGTCGCGTTCTTGAAGTCGTACTTGTCCGGCGTGGTGACGGTGATGCAGCCGCCCGACTCGGTCATGCCGTATCCGTGTTTGAGCCCGGCGTTGGGGAACAGTTTCTGGAGACGCGCGATGATCTCAGCCGACAAAGGCGCGGCCCCGGACGTGAAATACCGGATCGAGCTGAGGTCGTAGTTCTCAATCGACTTGTCGTGGACCAGGCGCACCAGGATCGGTGGCACCAGCATTAGCTCCTGTAGCCGGTACTCCTGCACGACCTTCAGCATCAACTCCATCGAGAAGCTCGGAAGCATGTGGACGTTGGCGTTCAGCACGATGGGGAGGTGCATCTGGTGAACCAGCCCAGTGATGTGGAACAAGGGGAGAACTGCAATCATGCGGTCGATCTTGGCTCCCGCCTGTCTCATCTGCAGACACTGGGCGATGATGTTGCTGTGCGAGATCGCAACCGCCTTGGGGAGGCCCGTCGTACCACTGCTGAAGGACAGAAACGCGCAGACGTCCTTGTTCTGCCGGCCGCGAGGGATCGTAAAGGGTACCTTCTGTCGCTGCGGGCCCTGCGACCGGCCGATGTCGATGAGCTGGGAGAGCGATACATGACCGTCCACCTCGCCGTGGAGCATCAGGATCCGATCCGGGGTGATTCCGACAGCTTTGGCGGCTGCCGCAGCAACGTTCAGAGAGCCAGGCACCGTGAATATGAGCTTTGCCTTTGAGAGTCGAAGCGCGTATGCCATCTCTTCGACATTGTACGCGGGGGATGCGCCGGCCACGATGCCGCCGGAGCGCAGGACGCTAAAGAGGGCACAGGGATACCAGATGGTGTTGGGGCTGAAGAGGCAGACACATTCGCCCTGTCGAAGGCCATATTTCTGCACCAGGGCGGTCGACACGTACGTGCTCAGCTCTTTGAGGTCTTTGAAACTGATGTGCTATTCCATCACTTGGGCGTCAGTCCCATCTCCACGAGCAAAGAATCGTCCCTGGTTCTGTCTTCTGAGGTGATCACGTACCTCTCCCGTCGCGGCGTCCGAGAAGCCATTCACAGCTTCCGGGGGGGATCTGCGTAGCGGACTCTCCTCGCCCTCGAATAACCAAGTCCAAACTGGTGCATTGTTGGGAACTGGACCAAGTTCAAGAGGGGTTGGTTAGGGCCTTTTGTCTCTGTACAAGAGCTTTGAGGTAGGTGAAGCCGGACTTCATTTCCCTGAACGCACCTTTGATGGGAGGCTGTGATGATTGGAAAATAGTCATTTTGACTCCTGATCGACAAACAGACAGACAGACAGGTCTACACTGCAGCTCTTTCCGTGTCCCGAGTAACAAAATCCCACAGCGATTGAGAGTCAAAAACAAGCAAAGGCACAGGCACTCCGACAACAATGCATCATTTACGAGTACAACCAACCACCCAATCACGCAGATCAGGATTGGAGGGGAACCATTTTATTTTTTCTCTCTTTGCTAGGGACGTGTAACTACTCGTATGGAACTAGTGGCAGGCCTCCATCGGGGCAAGAAATAAACGTGTGACGCATCGCGCGCCGTGGGCAAGACACCGACCGCACTCCTGACACACACTCTTCGAGCACTGTTTTCGATGAGGCTTCAGCATGCCTCGGCATGGGACGATGGGTGGGTGGGCAAAGGGTGCCTCGGCAGAGGAAAACGAATGATGGATAACATGGCACAATCATGGATAAGTTGATAAGCATGGGTCCTCGTCTATCCTTGCATATCCGTGAGTGTTTGTCCTTGTTTCTGGCAAGGGCGACGAGTCAGAGACCTGGTCCGCCGGAGGAGGAAAGTGGGCAGTTGCACTCACCTGAGTGGGCTGACTGTTCATTACTCGGCAGGTGCAAGTCATAATACTTGTAGATCGCAAGAGGCCGAAAAGAGTAACTCTGTAGAAGGAGCGAGTCAGTGTGTTCTCTCGCTCGAAGATGGTCAAGAACGTTTCATGATTGCCGATGCTCGCGCGCGCAAGGTTCTACAACATTGTGATGCATACGTTTTGATGGAAATTATTACAAGAAAAACACAGGTAAAAACGATTGACACTCGTTCTAATATCTCGTCTCGTCGGGTTACTCATAAGCCTCGCTTCAACTATATACTGTACTTGTGACTATACTTCGTAGTCCGTCTCAAGAAGAAAGACAAATGTCTGAAAATGTTCCCAAAGACGACAGAAGATTTGACCCCCCAAGGTCACCACCTCCCCCTCCCCCTTTCCACCCTCATAAATCTTTTCCCTTCTCAGACCGTTTACAGATGGGACTGCTGTTGAGGTGCACCGACTCTTCGAGGGGCCGTCGATCCGACCTCGCCCGTTCTCGTCAGAGCCTCCCGTTTGGCGCGCGTCGATGCCGGGGGGCTGTCGTCCTTTTCGCGGATATAGTAGGCCGTGTCGGCCAAGGGGTCCAGTTCCGTCTGGCTGTAACCGTTGCCGAGCCAGGCGAAGCGGTTGCCGTTGTACCGGACGTTGAAGTCTTCCCACCGGACCTGGTTGAGGGCCTCCAGGTAGTGCAGGGTCGAGCCGGGCCAGAGGGCCGTGATGGGAGCGTCAATCTCGGCGCCCTTGTACCAGCTGCGGCAGGGCTCGGACCAGATGGTCTTTTGCATGAACTTGTCCTTGTACTCGATAAAGTCGTCAATGGCCTCCTGCTTGGGCGAGAAGGAGTGGATGTTGGTGGTCTGGTAGCGGTCGATCACGCTCATCATCCAGTCTGCCTGGGCTTCGATGGCGATCAACACGGGTCCGTTGCCGATCGGGCAGTTCGGTCCCAGGAAGACCAAGTAGTTGGGGAATTCGGCGGCAGCAAGACCCAGGTATGAGTGCGGCTGCTTGCCCCAGACATCTTGGAGGTTCTTCTTGTTGGGGCCAATGACCGGGAATCGTGGGCGGAATGACGTGTCGAATCCGGTGGCACAGATGAGGACGTCGACGGGATATTCCTGGCCGTTGTCGCAGATGCAGCCCTTTTCCGTGATCTCTGTGATCTCGCCGTAGACAACTTCAACATTAGGCTTGGAAAGGCTTTCCAGGTAGCCAATACCAGGTGTTAATCTTCGGCCTGTAGTAGCTTCTTGTCAGTATTGTCACGACCAAGATAGTAGAGGAGTCCTTACATCCGAGAGACCATTCTGGGATCAACCTCTCCTCGAGGTAAGGATTGGCGATCTTCTCCTTCATCAGGCCGGTGATGTAAGCTCGGTTTTCTTTCTGAGAGGGCGTATCCTTGATGAACAGGTTGAAGAGCTTGTTGGTATCACGTTCAATCTGCTTTCTGTACGTGGTGAGCGACCCTTCCTGCTCGGAAAACTTCTTCTTCTCGTCGGCGGTGTAGACGTGCTGGCTCAGCCCTTGAACGGGGGAGACGTAAGTGGGCTCTCTGATAAAAGTAATGACCTTGTCGACATGAGGCTGGATTGTGGGAAGAACCTGGATCCCAGACGATCTGACGAACATCACTCGTTAGCCTTTTTGACTTCCTTTATGCGAAAGAGATTTTAGTCCACCCACCCGTTACCGATGAGGCCGACGACCTTGCCGCTGAGGTCGACAGAGTTGTCCCAGGCGGCCGTGTGCAACAAAGTGCCCTTGTACTTATTAAGGCCCGGGATGGCCGGGTATCTCCAGGCGTTCAAGATGCCGCCGGCGTTGATAAGAATGTTGCAGTAGTCAATCGTCTCCTTGCCCGTGGCCAAATCCTTGACCTTGACGATATAAACTCCTCGGTCGTCGTCCCAGGTGGCTCCGATGACCTGGTGCTGCATCTTGCAGTATTTGCGCAGGTCATACTTGCGCGAGAAGTTGTCAAAATACTGGTAAATCTCCGAGCTTCCAGCGTAGACTGACGACCAGTCGGTCTTTGGCTCGAAAGACCAGACATAGGTGTGGGCGGGGATATCGCATGCACATCTACAGGAGGCAAATCAATTAGTCCATCTGCTATCAATCATGTTTTGCTAAAACTTGGTTTTTGTCATTTGATGGACATACCCAGGGCTTGCATAAAATGTCAGTATATGCTTGAAAATGCCAATACGGAAGAGAGAGAGGGATTGCGTGGACTCACTATCGATTTTCATACCATGTCCCGGCAATATCCTCGTTCTTCTCGTAAACGGTCAAGTCGAAGTTATAAAAGCTTCGCTGCAATTTGTAGGCAAAGAGCAAGCCAGAGGCTCCGGCACCAATGCAAATGACCTTGATATGTCTCTCTGCGTGGATGGGGGCATCTGGGAGACCGACCACCTTGTCAAGAACGGTCGGCTGCTTGTCAGCGTTGAATTCTGGGAGGTAGACGTCCGACATGGTCGAGTATTGTTCCCGAGAGCACACAAGTCGGGGCAGGATAGAGACTGAGAAAGACGTATGGGACGAGGACAAGATGTTTCTTTGATCTAATGGCTTTGCAGCATATAAAGGGAAACAGTGCACTATGGAGGCGTCAACAACGACCTAGGAACACGCCACCACCATGAAAAAAAAACTACCTAGGTAAACCCTATCAGGTGGTCCAGAGCTGCCACTTCGCGCTTGGTAGACTCGTCGACCAGCAGAACAGTCGATTCTTGTGGTTGGCGTCATACCACCCATGCCTTTCCAGTCAGTTGATCTGATCTGTGAGCCGCGGCAATGCACAAAAAAGGCCCGGCATTGTTTTCCTGGCGTCTCATCGAGTTTTTCGGGACGGACTTGGGATTCCCGGCTTCGTCCCGAGGTCGCCGAGGCTGGCCAATAGAACTGGCTGCGTGATACGAGTCGGAAACGAGGCCAAGTCTGCGGGGATTCGAAGCCTCGTCTGCCTCGTCTGTTGGGTCGAATGGAGGGATGCGGAGCGAATCAGAGTCCAAACGGCCCCGATGGAAGCGCTGGAATGATCCCCACAACTCCAGTCCTCAAGGTAGACGATTATGGGGTTCACCCTCATGGGGGGGCCTCCCTTCCAAGTATTGAGGGCGGCAATTTCGGTACTAACAGCAGCTTTGGCCTATGGGATGGTGCGATTTTCCACCAGTTTTGGTCATTGACTTGTACAGAGTAAGAGTCCCTCGTCCCTGCCTGCCTGAATCGTTGGGCTTTGTAAAGGGAAATCCACATCAAAACCTAGTCAGGGTATTATTGACCCCACCTGATTGTAATGACTCGAAGTCGAACCGGCATTTATGGTTATTCTGGGACTCCAAGTCAATACGGGGATTCCTTCCCAAAGACCCTCGCGAATGTGGACGAAACCCCACGGGGGAAAAAAAACACGTTTTGCAGAATCAACGACCAGAAAGAGGGCCTTCAGGCAAATAGATCTTTGATCTCCAAGCTCAACTTCAATAGAGTATCAATTAAGCATTCAGTGTGTTCTGCGGCTGCACCGAGAATAGGTCAGAAAAAAGCGATCTCTCGTGCGAGATACACTTTCAGCCGCCGTGTCTTTCACCAACGAGGAGAAGCAGACCAGCCAAGCTCCACGTGGGTAGCTTGTCTATCACTTGCGACAGACGTGCCGAAGGGGAAGGGGCGGGGGGTTCAAGGTACATACTTGGTCAATACGCGACAAACTAAGCCTGTGACTGTTTTATTCACAAGAATCTACACACGTCCAAATCACACGCGAAGACTTGTCCAGACACAGAACTCGTCCAGCTGGGATTGATCACATACTATGTTTCCAGTATCCTCGTCGAGAGTAGGATGCGCAGGATAGCACGGATGACAAATACAAGGGGGGGGAGGAAATGGGATGAAAAGACACCCCTGCACCATATCTGCATTAGTGTCTGATAATAGCGGATGTTCTAGGCTGGACCATGTCGGCCAGTCAAGGAACCTTATGTATACGAGGAATACCTAATTGCCAAGGTCCAAAAGGTTCGCACTGTGGCGTCTGCCAGGCTTGTCCCCAGTTGGTCTCACCCCGGAATCACACCCCCTCAGGTTCCCCGTGCATGTATCGACCCTCTCCATTGTTGACATCCGAGAGATTACGCATAAAAAGGGGGGGAGGGTGTGGGAGAGCTCACCAACGCCGAACCTCATAAACCCATCTATATTCATCTCCCAAGTCTCGTTTGCCCCAAGGCCGCCCCCCAACCTGCTCTTGTCGCTTCCTTCAGAGCCGCAAAATCTCTGAGCATGGACCCCACAAAGATGACTCAAGCTGAGGTTATCCACGAGGAGGACAAGGAGAAGGAAAGTGAGAAGCACGACGCGGCCATCATCTCGCCGGACAACGAAATCGAGGCCTACGAGAATCGGGCCTTGGACTTGCGAAGCGTCCTGGGTATTGTGGTAGGTTGGTTTCTCCATGGTCGGATTGACTTGATGCTAAACGCACATATCTCAGGCGTTGGCCTTTACCTATGAAGCCTGCATCCTGTCATTCATCGTTCCCGTCGTCATTCTGTTGACCATCAACGCCGACATTGGGCCTTCGACTCAAATTGCATGGGTCGCCCAAGCCTGGACTGTTGGTGGCGCGGTCACTCAGACCGTGGCCGGTCGTTGCAGCGACATCTTTGGTCGCCGGAACTTCTTCATCGCAGGCAATCTTCTTGGTTTAGTTGGTGAGTTGTCCCCTGCGACACTGTCTTTTGAGAGTTGTTTGGACTAAAGATGAAAATACAGGAACTATTGTGGCAAGCCGGTTAGTCTTTTTCCTTCGTGTGATGGGGATGATCTGGAGGAAGAAGATGGTGCTGACTGGGTCCTTTTCAGAGCCGATAAGGTCAACCAAGTTATTGCTGGCACAGCCTTGATGGTGCGCTTAACATCTGACCCAACGTCGAACCCGACTTTTGCTGACCTGTCCTAGGGTGTCGCTGGTGGTATTCAGCAAATCGCGTATGCGGCCGCCAACGAGATTGTCCCCCGAAAACATCGAGGCAGCGCCATCGCCTTTATGAATGTGTTTGCGCTCCCCGGGTCAGCATTTGGCTCCGTCATTGGTGAGTTGAACGAAGCCTGATATCGTCGTGCGGCATCTGCTGACCGTGGGTTTTGTCCATAGCATATGCGATCGTTGCGGATTTGAATTGGCGCTGGACATTCTATCTCGGGGCCATTGCCAACGGCTGGGCGTTCTTGTTGATCGCCATCTTTTACTGGCCCCCTGGCTTTGTTGGCCTTCACCCAGGAAAGACCAGGTTCCAGCAATTCAAAGAGCTGGACTTTTTCGGGCTGGTCTTGTTTGGCGGTGGCCTGACGTGTTTCCTGCTCGGTATCTCCTGGGGCGGCAACCCATATCCCTGGACCAGCGCACATGTGCTGGCACCGTTGATTCTCGGAGGTATGCGACATGTCTCTCTTCAGATGCCATCTCTCTGGTGAAAAGAGAGGCGCAACTGACACTTTTGATTTCATCAGCTGTCACCCTCATCGTGGCATTCCCGCTCTGGGAGATTTACAGTCCCGACAACCTGGCCAAGCTGTTCCCTCCGGGCGTGATGAAGAACGTGAGGGGTTTTAGTCTGCCGTTGGTTGCGATCCTGATTTCAGGAATGTCGGTACGTGTTGGATCAGTCTCGCAATTCCCACCCGACGTGTCCGCTAAACAGTTTGTTTGTTTCATCGCATAGCTGCAATCTCTTCAAATCTTGTGGCCCCAGCGTAAGTCGCGTCCAGGAAACCCCTCCGGATGACAAGAAACTGACGTGAGAGCAGAGGTGCAGTACTTGTTCACCCAGGTGCCCAGGACCATTGGATGGTACAGTCTGGCTTTCAATCTTGCGGCAACCAGTAAGCAACACATTCTCTCCCTCGCACCACTGTTTGGTGGGGGTATCCTGAAAGTCCCCGAGGCTGATATAGAGAACAGTTGGAATCGTCGTGTCCGGAACCCTGTTTGGCGTGGTCAAACGGACCAATTGGCAATTCTTTGTCGCCACATTGTTGCAGACAACCTTCATCGGCGCCATGGCGTCTGTGAATGAGAACACGCCCGCGCGAGGCATTGTGCTGGTGGCATTTGCGTCCTTTTGGGTTTCGGCTGCGCAGGTCATCGGTGTGCTCCTCGTCCAGTTTGGTGTTGAGGACAAGGATATCGGTGCTGCCACAGGGTGAGTTTGTCCCGTGTCTCTCTTCGCATTGTCCGACTGACAATTTTGAACAGTATTCGAGGCTCGACACTGGCCTTTGGCGGCGCCATCGCCGTCGGCATCTACAGCAGCATCCTGAACAACAAGGTCTCGGACGAGCTTGCGCCGCGCGTAGCTGAAGCGGCGATCGGGGCGGGCTTGAACCCAGATAACCTCGAATCCTTTATCGGTACGTTTGGTGATCTACGTATCTATCTATCTATCAATCTGTCCTCTGGGGTTCACCTTTCCCCCGGCTTCCCCAGCCTTGGTAATTCCCCCCACTAACATGTGCCTGGTCTTGCAGTTGCATTGACGACAGGCTCTACTGCGGCTCTGGGGGCCATACCGAACATTACCCCGGCAATCATCAACGCAGGCGCAGAGGCTCTCAAGTCGGTACACTCGGACGCCTTCAGGCTGGTTTACCTCGTCAGTCTAGCCTTTGGCGGTAGGTTTGACCCTCATCCTCATCTCCCCCAGCACTCTTGGACGAGGAATCAAGAATACTGATCCGGTCTTGTGTTTGTGTGTGTGTGTGTGTGTTACAGGTATCGCCGTTATCGCAGCGGCGTTTGTCAAGAGTGTCGACCATAAATTGACCCAGTAAGCTACTGACATGCCTCTTTCTCGGTAAAGGAACGTGCCCACTAACTATTCTTTCCCCCCTTCCACAGCCAAAAAGCAGTCATGCTCGATAAACCCCATCTCATCGCCCACGGTGAAGGTGAAGCCAAGGTCCTTCATGCCGACCAACATTCCGCCTGAACGAGGGTTCAACTGTTATGGGACCCATCTCCTAAATTGCTAGCCTAGCGAGGATATCCTTCGGGCCCCGCTATCCATGTACTTTCACTGGGAATCCAGAAAAGGAAATACTCGAGTGTCGAAGAGCCTACAACTAGGAGATGGTGTACAGTACCGAGTAGATACCGTTACTTATTAGAGAGCACTAGGCTCCGTGGGTTCAGATAGGCTCCCTAAAAGTGTTTGGTTTTGGGGCGGTTGTCCATTGGGTATTGATTCTATACAGTCAGAGTGCTCTAGACTGTGTGTCCATCGCCGACAGCCCAAGCTAAAGAGGGAGGGGGGGTGAATTCGTACAATATTATTTCGACACTCTGTTCACCTCGCTCATGATGATTTGCTTGAGCCTTGCAACATGAAATCTGAATCTATTTCTGGTTTGAAGAAAGAGACGTGGTATGGTTATAGTATAACGAGTACAGAGTACAATCCCCAGTCAGCCCTCGTCTCCTGCACCTGGCATGACCAATAATAACGGCCTCAATTGTAATTATACATGCATTTTCTAACTAAGTAAATCGCAGAGTATGTACATATTCCTTCTTACTCGCACTCATCCATGACGAAAACCTAGAACATATGTCCAGGAGAAATTTGACAGAGTTTGACGAGGCTGCCTATATCAAAATCCCATCAAAATCCCAAGAAGACACAATGCCTCGACTAGTAGCTGTGTACCGAGTAGATAGATGGCCATTACTGTCACAGCTCGGCAAGACACCAGCACCCGAGCAGCAAGAACCTGCACAGACAGAGGGTGTGAAATCCAAGACTACGCATTGGCCACCATTTTCTTTCTCCCCTCTTCTTTGTTTCAACACATGATTCTGACAAAGATGAAGATGATGACATTCATCGCCACAATTCCGCACGTCACTTACTAGCGTCAACGTCCCATCTTGGCCCCCATGGTCCGTGCAATCAGAGTTTGGCCGGACCCGTCGGTTACGAGTCGTTAGCCCTGGTATCCCCAAGTTAGTTGCCGAGCAAGGCTCCCCGGGTCCACTTGTTCTGTTTCCCATTTTCCTCTTTCCCCTTTTGGGATTGAGACCATCGAGATAGCGAAGGTCCACGCACCCATGGGCAACCCAGATGGTGTGTCTGTGGCTTCCTTTTTATGCCCATGTATGAACAAGCACTCATGGTCGAGCCTACCATTTAATCATAATGTTGCCGGCACAAGTTTGGTCTCTTCTGCCCTCCATGGTGCTTGTGCGCATACTTGTATTTGTAAGATAGTACGCCGTTTCCCCGGTCTACCATTGGTCGAGCCAGGCCTCTCCTGACTGGCTGGCTTCGATCTGATTGTATAAAGGACCATTACGAGTAGGAGCATCCCGAGGTATGGGATTACCGGATGCCCGCCTACAACCGCTTCGAACCAGATTCCCATCGAGTGCCATTTCCACCGATCGCTGAGAATGGCAACGTAGATCTATTGGTCTGTTGGCCCATTTCCGTTCGTTCTGGCCAGTGTTTCACTCGCGGGTCATATCGTGACTCCCATTTTCGGGGCTGTAGACGTCCATCGACGGGTCCGAAACCGAGTGAGACGTCTCCGAGGTTGAGCGGCAACGTCGTCTATATTTTCAAGGACCCCGCAAGTGAGATCCCCCTCTTCCCATCCATCTTGAGGCCAGAACGTTGACAGAAAAAAGCAAACCTCATCATCGCTGTCATCACCATCACTACTCCTACCATTACAAATTCACCCATTACTTTCTCAAGAACCAGCAAACCATATCCAAAAAGAAAAAAATAACATGGCTCCCCCAACCGCGACATACACCGAGACGGTCGACGTGGAAGACGTCTTCACCGCCACAAAAGCCAAGAAAGAGGAAGAAGGACACAACCGCCTCGTCCCCAAGGGCCACGAGTGGGCAGAGAACCCAAACGACGTCCAGGTCGAGGGCTGGGTCGGCCCCCCCAAATTCACCGACAAGTTGCAGGAGCGAGAATACCTCAAGGGCCGGCTAGCGCTGGCGTTCCGCATCTTTGGCAAGAATGGCTTCGAGGAGGGCGTGGCGGGCCACATCACGCTGCGCGACCCGATCAACCCGCACATGTTCTGGGTGAACCCCATGGGCGTGCCCTTCAGCCTGATCAAGGCGTCGGACCTGCTCCTGGTGGACGAGGACGGTAAAGTCGTCGACGGGGGCCCCGTCCGCATCCTCAACCAGGCCGCCTTCACCATCCACTCGGCCATCCACAAGGCGCGCCCGGACGTCAACTGCGCGGCCCACTGCCACAGCATGTACGGGCGCACGTTCGCCGCGCTGGGCAAGAAACTCGACATGATCACCCAGGACAGCTGCATGTTCTACAACGACGTCGGGCTGTACGAGTCGTTCAAGGGTGTCGTGCTGGCCAAGGAGGAAGGACAGCGCATCGTCAAGGCCATTGGCAACAAAAAGGCCTGCATCCTGCAAAACCACGGCCTCCTGACGGCCGCTTCGACCATCGAGGCCGCCATCTTCTGGTTCGTCTCGCTCGACCGGTGCTGCCACACCCAGCTGCTCGCCGACGCCGCGGGCCAGACAAAGAAGATCGACGAGGAGGACGTCGACTACACCTACCGCCTCACCGGCTCTCCCGTGGCCGGCTGGTTCTGCGGCAAATCCATTTTTGATGTCGTGATTGATGAGCTGGGCGACAAGTACCTGAAATGAGCAAACGAACGAGACGCTGTAGTGTGTTGCTCATATGTGAATGTGTGACGCCGACAAGGGTGGATAGTGGAAAATCTTAACACATGAGCAACAACGTCTGCCTTGATTAAATCGCATTTAACATATATATATCCCGTTTTAAATATCATCCAGTTCATGAGTTCCATCCATGGTCATGTTTTTAAACAAGGCTCCCTATAAACATGATCCCCTGATCGATTGATGGACTCTGCTGTGAATTCTGTACAGTGTAACCTCGCTTCGATGCCGTCAGGATCGTTTTTCCTCGACCCATTCCTTTAAATCTTGCCAACCCCCGAGCGAAAAAGAGGGGGTTTACGTCTCACCCACCAATAGAACAAATATTTGATACGCAGATCCTGAGATGGGCATACAGCAATCCCTTGTCTTGTTTCTTGTATCTAAATTTGGAGAGCATTAACCTACGTAGCCTACTTGTGGAAAGCAATCATTTTCGTCAAAGTGAGGAAACGTGAGCCACACGCTGCTGCAACTTGTTTCACATACCTAGGTATACACATATACACAATACACATACACATACATGGGCTCCCTAACGAGTCTTTGTAGGTACCATACATAATCATCAACTACAGAGTCGAGTCGGCATTTACACGGGGTCTTTTTCCTTCGATGTCGCCGCATCTGGTATCCGGGGTCACCTCGAGCGCCTGAGCAATCGGCCACAACACACGGGGCGTTAAGAACTGCATCCACAGGCCAAAGCATGACACGAGTGTAAAAAGGGGCATTAGTGGTGGCGGCGAAATGTTTGAACAAAGTCCGGGGGAATGAAGCATTGCCACACCCCCCAGGGTAATAATACCCTTATTCCCTCCGCAAATACTACTTGCGTACCTACTCACCCCATCAGCAATGTTTTTTTCCGCAAGGAGTGGCCCTTCACATTGAAATCATGCTAGCAGCGACGGGCTTTACCCTTGTAGGCTTTGAAGGACCCGGAGAGATTCACAAGCTATTTCTAGGAGAATACAAGTGCATCACTCCTTAACTCGTTGTATTTCCAGTTCCGCGCCTCACGCGAATGGAGCTAACTACAAAGAGTATTTTTGGGGCAGAGATGATGCTATGTGATTGGCCATCTTGTGTGGTGGGGGTCCACCGCTTTACAAGCACGAGGTGTACTTGTACTGGTCCTGTCAGGCATGTGGACATCTACAGGGGTAGGTCTTTAAACAAAATGAGGTTCAATGGAGGCCGCTTCAGGCTAAAAAGTGAGCAGTGGCACACATCAAATCTCTAAAGGTTCCGAGGTATGTCGTCTCGACAAGATCGATATGCTAGCTAATGGTAGAGAAATCATTACAGCTCCCTACCAACTTCATACTTTCCAAGGTCGAGAGATTTTTCCCTGTCAAAGACTATTTTTATCGAGTTGCCATGGCGTCCAAGGCCTTGCCTCTCTCCTTGATCAGCTCCAACTCGTTCGCATTAACTTCCGAGAAATCCGCGCCCAGGTAAAACGCAGCGACCTTGTTGGCTGGGGCTGGTTCTTCCCTCGGGATGATATCCTCGCCGCAGGTCTCAAAGACGCAGGCGTTGACCGAGTCGTCCTCAATGATCTTCTCGATGGCGCGGACGATGGTGGATATGGGCGTGATCATGTTGGGGGGGATGGCCTGGACGAACTCGGCCGAGATCAGATTGGTGGCTACGACGGTCGGGCAGATGCAGTTGACGGTGATGTTCTCGCCGCGGCTCTTCATCAACTTGCCCAAGCTGCGGGCGAGTGCGACGTCCTGTTCGAGCATGGAGGTGTCAGCTTTTGTTCCCCCTTCCATCGTCAGAGTCGGCCTTTCTTACTCCGTGCTTGGCCGCCGCATACAAGGGCACCTCTGGCCCAGCGTAGATACCCGCAAAGCTGGCCGTTATGGCCAACTTGCCTTTCCGGCCAGCGTTCTTCTTGAAATAATGGAATGCGAGGTATGCCGACCAGATGACGCCGTTCAGACAGACATCGATGGGAAGGATATCTGGCTGAGGAGGAGCACCATTCTCGGTCTCTGGTGCATCAGCGAATAAGTCGATGCGGTCACCAACGCCCTAATGTACCCGTTTAGAAGCTGTCCTTTTGAAAATGCGAGTAATA